ACAGCTCGTAAGTGCCCCGGGGGAGCCACTGCTCCTGGGCTGCTTCCTCAGGGAAAATCCCCCCTGTGGGATGGGAACTGAGAGCCCTGGAGGCTGAATCCTCCTTCAGTCAGGTAGGATGAAGGAGTCACCCTAAAGGGAAAGGGTTTCCTCGGATTTATTCTGGATTATATTAAAGAGGGAAGGAAAAAAATCAGCTGGAAGTGTCGCAGGCCAGGTTGGACATTGGGGCTTGGAGCAGCCTGGGATGGTGGAAGGTGTCCCTGCCCATCCAAGGGGTGGCACTGGGTGGTCTTGGACACTTCCCACCATCCCAAGGTGCCCCAACCTGGCCTTGGACATTCCAGGGATCCAGGGGCAGCCACAGCTGCTCTGGGAATTCCATCCCAGCCAGGAATTCCAATATCCCAATATCCCATCTAAATCCACTTCTTTCAGCTCAAAGCCATTCCCTGTGTGCTGTCCCTCCAGGCCTTGTCCCCTTCAGGCCCTGCCAGGGGCTCTGAGCTCTCCTTGGATCCTTTTTTTTTGTCCAGTTGAACATTCCCAGCTCTCCCAGCCTGGCTCCAGCCCTGGAGCAGCTCTGGGGGCTCCTCTGGATCTCTCCAGCAGCTCCAGGTCATATTTATTGTGGATTGGTTCTGTTCCCACACTCCTCCCTAAGTTTCCCCTTCCTGGCCATGAAGGAGACAGGGAGCAGAATTCAAAGGATCTTCGGCCTGGCCTTTCTCCTTTCTTCCCTAAATTCCCTTAAAACCAGGAGTGAGTGTGACCTGTGTTCCTGGAGCTCCTCCATCTTTATAGAAAAAAATAATATAAAATGCAGCACAAATGCCAAGTGATGAACCTCAGGCAGCTTTTTAACCCATTTCTCCCCAAATTCCACAGAACCACTGGCTGTGGATCCCTTCCCTTCCACACATCCAGCCAATAGCAGCAGGATCATTTTTTTCCAGTCACTTTTATCCAACACGTTTGGGTCAAACCCCAGCAATTTCCCCCATCCCCATCTCCCCCAGAAGATCAGCAATGCCAAGCACAGGTTATTTTTAAAGCAGGTCAAACCCATCCTCTTTCCCAAAAATGAGCTGGATCTCCAAATCCCAAAATCCCGGGAAAGGGGAAGTCAGAGCCAGCAACTTGGGAGGTTGGGAACCACCAGCAGGATTGTCCATCCTAAAATCCAACCTCAACCCTGTCTTCATCTCCTCCTTCTTGGAGGGTTTTTACGTCTTCCCGGGAATTCGGAGGGGCTGGGAGAATCCTTCTCATTCCAAACACAATGGGAAGGGCCCAGCGTGTGGCAGGGCTGCTTTATCTAAACTCCATTGTTCCAAGCAGCAATCCCGGAGCTTTCTGGGGTCCTGAGAAAAGCAAAGAACTTTGTGGAGCCTCAAAGTGACGGCACAGGAGAGGGTTTGGATTGTTCTATGCCCAATTCCACGAAGGAATGCCAGCGAAGTGCCAGGCATTTGCAGCAGGACAGAGGGCAGAGGTTTTAAAGTCCGTGGAGGGATTAAAAAAAAAAAAAAAAATCGTCTGAGAGATGTTTTGCTCATTAATTTCAATTAACCCCGAGGTGCCATCCTCATTCCATGCCTATGGATTTGGTCTGGTTCCTGGAAATAGAATCCAAGAATCCTGGAATGGTTTGGGTTGGAAAGGAGCTTAAAGGTGATTTTTATGGGCATGCATGTCTAAATTGGGGTGTCTGAGAGTAAACTGGGGTGTCTGAGAGTAAACTGGGGTGTCTGAGAGTAAACTGGGGTGTCTGAAGCTAAACTGGGGGTCTTTTGTGAGAGCTGATCCCAGTCACTCTCCAGACTGGGAGGATTTAAGAGCCTGGAATCTCTGTGGATGAGAGGAGCAGAGTCCTGCAGGAGCAGCATCATCAGCACTCAGAGATTTCCCTGAGGCTTTGGAAATCAGTGCCTTTGGTGAATATCCCATTTAGCTTTTATTTAGCCCCATTTTCCTGTTAACAAAACAAAACAAAACAAAACAAAACAAAACAAAACAAAACAAAACAAAACAAAAGCAAGCACAGAGATTTTTCTGGCTTTGTTTATCACTCCAGGCAGCAAACTCCCCCCAATTCCAAACTTAACGACACCTGAATCAGCAGCTCGGAGAAACTTTGCAGAAATTCCATCTGGAAAATCTTTATTTATGCTTCCAGCCCCTCGTGCTGCTGATCCCACCCTTCACAGCTTTCCCATTCCTCTAAAAACACTGGGATCCCTCCCAGCTTCACAGCCCGAGTGCTGCTAAAGGGGAATAAAAAAGGATGAAAGGAAAAATTCGGCTCCTTGAAACTCAGCATAGGATTTGCCACCAGAAAAATCCCTGCTCCGTCTGATTTTCCTTTTCCTTTTCCTTTTGCACACACGGCAACAGTTGAAGGAGTGGAGAGTTCCTGCAGGAATCAAAGTCATGGAATTGTGGAGTCCTGAATTGATGGGGGTTGGGAGAAGCCTTAAAGTCCAGCCAGTTCCAGCTCTGTGTCATGGGCAGGGACTCCCCCACCTGCCCAGGTTGCTCAAAGCCCTGAACACTTTGATTAAACGATAATTAAATTAAATTGCACTGGTTTAATTAGCTGGTGGCAAGGCCAGGTTTGGTCTCTTGGCCAGCAATGGATGACCAGGGATGGCCACTCAGGGTGGACTTCCAGGAGACTTCAGGTGGCAAATTCCTGGAGTGACAGAGCTCCAGGTTGTGTCCATGGCTTGGCCATCAGGACCTTTGTAGTTTTCTGGGAATTCTTTCATTTCCCATCTACCTCAGCTCCCAAAGGATTTTCCTACCTGGAGGATCTTTCCTGGTTGTTCTTTGTGGTTTTCATGGAGCTCTTGGGAGACTTGGAATTCCTTTGGAGATTTTGGATAAATCCAAGGAGGAAAAGCTCCTGGGAATTGCCAGTCCTGAGCTCCAAGTGAGGGAGAAGTGGGAGTGGAGAATCTCAGTTTTTTGCTCCAAAGGCTTTCCCCAAGGATCTGAGTACCCCATCCAAGAAATCCCATTTCCCAAGGGCTTTTCCAGGTAGGATTTGGGAAACCTCCTTCTCCAAGGAGGACTCCAGGAGAGGATTTCTGTGTCTTGGCACTTGGTACCCAACCTCCCATCAAAGAAAGGCCCTCAGAGCACTCAACCTTCCAAAAACCTCCTGCCAATCCAGGGGCTCTTCCCAAATCCATTCCCAACCATAGGAACGTGGATCTTCCCAGTGAAATTTCTGAATGGGGCTCAGGGATGTTTTGTTAAGGCCTCAAAACTCTTGGATTACTGAGAATTCCAACCTTGGAGTGAGATTTTTTTTTTTTTTTAATTATTATTACTATTATTATTATTTTATTTTATTTTTTGCCATGGAGGCAAACATTTTCCAGCTCCAAGAGGATTCCAGCTTGGCAGCAGGAAAATCACGCCAGGATATTTTTCCCTGAAAGCTTTGAAATCTCCTCTTCTTGGCTTTTCAGGCCCTGCTGCCTGCACAGACAGATCTATAAAAATCTATAAAAATATCCCATAAATACGCACAGACACACTCAGTAAATTAATATTGGCAAGGGCTTCGCTCCTCCAGTGCAAACCGCAGAGAAACATTCCCAAATCTGCGGATTCTGATGTAATAGGGCTGAGGTTTGGCATTCCAGGACAGCGTTCCAAGCCTCAAATCCCAATCAGAGCTGTCATTCAGAGCCCAGCATTCCTGACGTTACTGCAGCCCCGTGGGCAGGGCGAGGGACAGGAGGGAATGAGGAGAAAGAGCCTGAATTGGTTGAGGGTTGTTTTTTGGGATTTTATTGCTAAAATCAGGCTGGGAAAGGCAGGACAGGCTGGGATAGGGGGGGGGCAGGCATTTTAACCCTTTCCAGGAATCCCCGAGTTCAGCTGCAAGTCCCAGCAGGATCAAGGAAAATATCCTGATATTTAATGGAAACCTCAGGGTCTCGAGGCCAGCTTTAGAAAATAGCAACCTAAAACTTCCTAAAGGATTAATTATTAGGAACTCTCCCATGACAGGACCTTTTCCAATGGGATTTTGGCAAGCTCAGGTTGTGTCTGGATTGGATAACCACAGGCAGAGGCTGCTTGGGATTAAAAAAAGGGAAAAATAAACGCAGGTGATTTTTTTTCCTCATGTCCCATAGCCAAAGTATTTCCTTCCCGTGTTTTCTGGTGTGGGTTACATCCCCCAGGCTGCACATCAGTCATCCAGCCACAGCTAAATTGTGCAATTCCAGCAAAATTCCCAGTTTAGCAGGTATTTTGTCCAGGTAAAAATTCCCAAGTGATTCCTGAATTGGGCCAGGAGTTTGTGAAGAGCTTTGGGGTGAAAATTCTGCAAAATTCCCAGGCATGGGATGAACCCCACACCATCATTAATCCCTTACTAAATTCCCAGCTCAGCAGGCATTTTGTCCAGGTAAAAATTCCCAAGTGATTCCTGGACTATGCTAGGATTTTGTAAATCACTTTGGGCTCCTTTGGGATGAAAATGCCACGAAATTCCCCAGTTATGGGATTAACCCCACTCCATCCTTAATCCCTTACAAAATTCCCAGCTCATTTTATCCAGGAAAAAGTTCTCAAGTGATCCCTGAATTGGGCCAGGAGTTTGTGAAGTGCTTTGGGTTCCTTTGGGATGAAAATGCTGTGAAATTCCCCAGGCATGAACCCCACTCCATCATTCATCCCTTACAAAGTTCCCAGCTCATTTTGTCCAGGAAAAAGTTCCCAAGTGATTCCTGGACTGGGCCAGGAGTTTGTAAAACGCTTTGGGTTCCTTTGGGATGAAAATGCCACAAAATTCCCCAGGTATGGGATGAACCCCACACCATCCCAAATCCCTTGGGGAAAATCCCACTTCCCCACCTCAGGAAACACAACCCCCCCCCCTTCCCAAGCTGCCAGAAGGGACGGGATTCCCCCGGGATGGGGGCTCTGTGTGCAGCCTTCCCCGTGTGACGCTGTTTTCTCCATCATTTCTGCTGCAGGAGGTTTTTGATCGCCTCTATTTGATTTATACTGTTGGATACTCCATCTCCCTGGGATCCCTCACAGTTGCTGTCCTTATCCTGGGATACTTCAGGTAGGCGGCTCCTTTTTTACCCAAACGGCGGTGGTGGCACCTGTGATTTGGGAAAACTTCCTGGGGGATGGTGGGTGGGATGCTGGAACTCCTTCCACTTCCCTAAGGTGGGGTTTTTCCAGGCCCTCTTTGTAGAAAATGGGAATTCCTCGGTGTCTCCAGGAATCCCTTGGAAGACTGTCCAGGATTTTCTGTCCCTGTTGTCCCTGAAGGTGGCTGGCTTAGCTTTAGATGGCTGATTTGCAGAGAAATAAGATTCCCGAGGGAAATGCCACTCTAAATCCAAATGTTCGTGAAGGATAAACCAGCTGAAAGGGATGGAAAACTCCCAGGCTGATTCCCCACACTGCTGCTCTTCCCAGGGATCCAAAAATGACTCTCCTGCATCCATTGTGTCCCTTCCCTTCCCACCATCCCTGACTCCTAAATACCACTTTGAATGCTCATTTTCCATTCCTCAATCCAGTGTTTCATTTTCCATCCCTGGAAGTGTCCAAGGACAGGGCTTGGAGCAACCTGGGATAGTGGAAGGTGTCAGGGTTGGAATGGGATGATTTTTAAGGTCCCTTCCAGCCCAAACCATTCTGGGATTCTGGGATTCTTGCTGGCACAGACAGCATGGGATGGGAGGGATGAAAGGTGTCACCCATGTCACCCATATCCAGGAATTTGTCCTTTGGGAATGTTCTGTCTGGTGAGCTGAGAGAGCAAGGTGACCCCAAACCCTGAGCTCCAGATTTGCTTCCCTTGGATGTCTGCTCCTGTCTTCTCCTAAAAATCCAGCAGGACCTGGATAAGAGCTGGTGGGGGCCACGTGGTGTCTGCAGAGGGATTTGGGAGGGATTTGGGAGGCTTGAGCCAAGCCCTGGACATGGAACACTGGGAATCAAATGTGTGGCTTTGGGCCCTGGAAGTGCTCAGAGCTCTCAGCACACAGCAAGAGGTCAGGGGGGTTTGCTTGGATAGCAAATCCCAAATCCATGACAGACCCAATCCAAAGGGAGCTGCAGATCCCATCCCTCCCCCACACTCCTGTTCTCCCAACCTTTTCCCTTCACCTCATTTCCCACTGGACACTGGCAAGGCTGTTAAAATATTCCATGTGTGCAAGAGAATTCCTGGTTTTTCTTTATCCATACCTTTATCCCTTTATCAGAGCACTTCATTTCCAGCCCAGACCACCTGAGCAACTGTGCTGGAGCATCTTTATCCCGAGGATCAGAGCAGCAGCAGGGATCAAGCCAGATTTTATCCTCGATAATCCAGAGATTCATTGACTCCCTTTCAAAAGCAGGGAACAAAGCCAATCCTCGTTTAAACCTCATCAGTTCCGCTTGGTGTAATTTGGATTATAAAAGCGCAGGGAACAAGTGGTGTTGTTATCAAAACGTCCTGCAAAAGGGATAAAAACACAGCTTTTAATTAGTGCAGATTATTGGGATTTACAAGGATATCAATCCATTCATGAATCCAGGCGTGGCACCAGAGCACAGAGGGGACTCCAAGATGTCAGTTCCTTCTTCCCAAAATCCTGATTCTCCATTCTAAAATGCACCTCTTCTTCCTGCTTCTGACCCATTCACCTCTCACCATCCCCCAAAAAAAGCTTTTCCTCCAAAAAGGACCTTAAAGCGCTTTACAACTGGGGTTTGTGGGGTCGCTGCTGCCACTGCTGGGGTGGAGCCCACAAACTGCTCCAAAGGATAACATTTACAGCAGGAAAACAGGGACAACAGCCCAGCACACCCGAGTTACTGCTGGAGCTGCTCCTACATTGAGCTGGGCAAAGGAAATTAATGGTTTACACAAAGCTCTGCGAGGTTTCCAGTGGCCCCCAACTTCTGGAGCCTCTGGAATCCAAGGACAAGAGTGGGAATGGCTTCCCACTGCCAGAGGGCAGGGTTGGAGCAGATTTTAGGCAGGAATTCCTGGCTGGGAGGGTGGGCAGGCCCTGGCACAGGGTGCCCAGAGAAGCTGGGGCCGTCCCTGGATCCCTGGAAGTGTCCAAGGCCAGGCTGGACACTTGGAGCAGCCTGGGACAGTGGGAGGTGTCCCTGCCCATGGCAGGGGTGGCACTGGATGGGCTTGAAGTCCCACCCATCCCAAACCATTCCATGATTCCCCAAAAGCCCCTGGAGAAGGCATCAATCCATTTTCCAGCCCCATGGAAGAGCAGGGAGCGGTGACTCCCCGGTGGGAGGAGCTGGGGCTCTCCAGAGCCAGAAGCAACCCTGGCTGCATCCAAGAGCTGGACTGAACTTCCCAATCCCTTCTGTCCCCTTGCAGACGTTTGCACTGCACTAGGAACTACATCCACATGCACCTGTTTGTGTCCTTCATGCTGAGAGCCGTCAGCATCTTCGTGAAGGACGCGGTCCTGTACTCGGGCTCAGCCCTGGAGGAGATGGAGCGCATCTCCGAGGAGGACTTGAAATCCATCACGGAGGCACCTCCAGCGGATAAGTCACAGTTTGTGAGTGTTCCCAGAGCGCTGATCCTCCAGGATTCGTGTCTTTGTCCTCTCTGTTCAACGCTTTCCTTCTTTTGGGGAGTTTTGTACCCAACTCGTCTTTCACAGGCTCTTCCTTCCCGTCCTTTCCCATTCTCAGTGTGGTGGTTCAGAGGGATTCCCAATTCCTGGGCTAAGGAAAAGCTGCCCCCACACCAGTCAAGGTTGATGGTTTGATTCCCATCTACATTCCCCTGACACCCCTTGCATTTATGGCTGTGGAAACATTCCTGACCATCCCAGCACAAGGCACATCCAGCTTGGCTCACAACACTTCCACAAATGGGGAATGCACGACTTTTCTCCTTCCTGTATGGAAAAAAAGACATTTTGGAAGGGAAAATGGGGGGAGGATGTGGTGTCAGAGGAAAGGTGGGGCTCATCTGCAGAAAGGAGCTGCTGTCCGTGAGGGAGACCTTGGGCAGAATCGTTGAGGTTGGAAAAGAATTCCAAGGTCATCCAACCTTGGAATGGTTGCTGGGTCCCCAGTCCCAACCTTGCCCAGAACCCTGAGTGCCACATCCAGGAATTCCTTGGACACCTGCAGGGATGGGGATCCAAACCTCCCTGGGCAGCCCCTTCCAAAGCCTGAGCACCCTTTCCATGGGGAAATTCCTCCTGGTGTCCAACCTGAGCCTCAGCTTGGTTGAGTCAACACAATCCACCCAGGCAGACGAGTCAGCATCCCAAAATAAAGATGGAAGTGAGCTCAGCTGGATTCTTCTCCAGAATTCCATGGGGATTTCACTGTATAGAAATTTCTGATGGAAATATCTGAATTGTCCATGTCCTGGGGGGGATGAAGGCCATCCTCACATTTCCCAAATCCTGGAGCTCTTGGCTCTCCCTGTCATTGGTCCCATCTCGGATTTCCCATGGAATCCTGGATATGGCACCTTCTCCCTTCCCACAACTCCCTGGCAGGAGGGGACAGTGAGGGGGGGATTTGGGATCTGCTCCCAGAGAACAGGGACAGGAGGAGAGGGAACGGCCTCAGGATGGGCAGGGGAGGCTCAGGGTGGACACCAGGAATTTCTCCATGGAAAAGGTGGTCAGGCCTTGGAAGGGCCGTGGAGGGTTTGGAGTCCCCACCCCTGGAGGTGTCCAAGGAATTCCTGGATGTGGTACTTGGTGCTCTGGTGAGGATCAGGCACAGCTTGGACTCCATGACCTTGGAGGTCTTTTCCAACCTCAAGGATTCTGGGATAAACTTCCTGCCTGTGGATTTGCTTGGCTCCTCAAGTCCTTCCCAACTTGTGCTACAACCAGGGACCAGCAACACCTCGTGAAAAATCAGAGGATTTGGGAATGTCCCAGTGTGCATCCCAGTGTCCCGACTGGAACTTTGTCATTGTGTTCCTTTCCCATCCCGGAGATCTGTGTCATTAATCTGCAGAGTCTCACTCAACACCCTCCAAAACTCTCTTTTTTTTTTTTTTGGAAAGAACACAAAATGTTTCACAGCATTGTTTGGTGTTTCTCCTCGTGCCAGGCTCATTAGAAGGAATAATTAGGATAATCTATGGCATTCTTTGGATATTAGCATTTAATGGCATTTCCCACTCTTTGGAAGTGCAAGGCAAACAAGCTATGAAGGGACAATTAATGGATTTATTTTGTTTCCAAATGAAGTGGGAACTTTGCAATTCTTGCCTCACATTCCCTGCATGAGGAAGTAAATATAAAAAATAAATATAGAAAATAATAGCTAACCTAGATGGGGATTTTTAAAAATAAATATAAAAAGTATTAATTAATTTAGGGGGATTTTAATTAATCTATTTTTACTCCCTCTGTCCATGAAAGAAAATGAGTGTAATGAGTGCATATCTTATCAATATGCAAATATATGTATAAATGTGCATATTGATGGATGAAAAATTAGCAAAAGGGCTGTGCCAGGATTTTAAAAAATTATCTTTTTATTTCCAAGGTATTATTATTGGCATTTTCTGTCAGTCCTTTGTATTCCTCTCAAAGGAAGGGACAGCACAAAGATGGGCCCAGGGATGTGGCAGCCACAGAATTCCTGGGAAATCCAACATGCCAGACTCCAAGATTATCCACACTGACAAGAGCTGGCTTTGAACTGATTAATCCCCAAGTGGATTTTGTGATATTTTGCAGCCTTTCTCTGCTGGAGCTGAGAAATTGGGAAGCAGGGGTGGCTTTGTCCCACTCTGACCCAAGGGAGTGCTGGGGTCACAGTCAGGGTTTTGCTCCCCAAAAATTCAAGGATTTCAGCTCAGTGTGGAGCGAGAGCTCAGCTTAGGAGCCCGTTGAACACCCAGGATGTCCTGGAAGTCTCTCCCAGATCTCCCACCTGGCAGCTCAGGTCTGCTCCTGAGATTTCCAGGGAAAACCTCCAGGCCCTGTTTGCTCCAAAGGCAGCAGGAGCCATCTGCAGGGGTTCCCAGTGAGTGAGGACAGAAAACAACCCTGGAGGATCCTGGAGGGGCAGGATGGGGTGACCCCATCCCACCTCGAGCTGAGGAAGGAGTTGGAATTCCCAGTGCTGTGACTTCAGCAGGACACCCAGGCCAGGACAACTTGGCCAAGGCCCTTTGGCCTCCAACAAGGACAAGGAACACAGGGAAAAGATGGAACACAGGGAAAGATGGAACACAGGGAAAGATGGAACACAGGGAAAGATGGAACACAGGGAAAGATGGAACAGGGAAAGGTGAACCCCAGCTGCTCTAGGAAGTGTGTGAGCCCCTCATCACCAGGTTGGGAGAGAGCAGGATCATGTCCTTTTTTCTACTTCCCAGCTCACCTGCTGTAGGAAAAATCATCTTTGGCTCAGGAGTTTTTTCCCAACTGTTCATCTTTCCTTCTCTCCCAAAGATTTCCCCCCCCCTTACAAAAAACCCCTGAAACACAATTTCCTGATTTAATCATTTTCCTTTCTCCACCTCGTTTCCCACCTCGCCCCGACTCGTTTGTGCAGCACAAGAATTTCACCCCGTGTTCCTTCTCTGTCCTTGTGTGGTGGCTGCAGGTGGGCTGTAAAGTAGCTGTCACCTTCTTCCTCTACTTCCTGGCGACCAATTACTACTGGATCCTGGTGGAAGGGCTCTATCTGCACAGCCTCATCTTCATGGCATTTTTCTCAGAGAAGAAATATCTTTGGGGATTCACATTATTTGGCTGGGGTAAGTCACGGCCGCTCCTCAGGGCTCACCTGGAAAAGTCTCTTGGAGGGGGTTCTTGAAGGAAAATACAGAAATATGGGAGAGGGGATGGAGGAAGGATGAGCATCAAGGCCAGGTTTTTCATTTTGGGAAGCTTTTATCATTCCAGACACTGTGGCTCCTCCCAGGGTCTCCAGAAGGATCAGCCCAGCCTTGGAGAGGCAGCACAAAGAGCGAGGGAATTCCAGGATGGGTTGGGAAGGACCTTAAAGCACATCCAGTCCCACCCATTCCATGGGACACCTCCCACTGTCCCAGGCTGCTCCAACCCCAATGTCCAGCCCGGCCTTGGGCACTTCCAGGGATCCAGGGACAGCCACAAATCTCTGGTGGTGCCTCAGCACCCCCACATTTTGCCACCCTTCCAGGGCAGGAAGTGTGAGGGCTGAATTTGGGGTGAGACAGCCGATTTCAGGGATTTATCCCCATCTCTTCCCCGGATCTCCTGCTAAGAAACCAGTGCTGGGCTGGAGGGACAGAAATCTGTGGGAGGTTTTGAGCATCTGCTCCCAATGAGAGCCCCGAGCTCTGATTTCCTCCCTCAAACCTCAGCTGGTTCAAATCCCTGAGGTCTCCTGAGCCTTGGAACACCACTGGAAACCTGCAATTTGTGGGGAAGACTTTTTTATTTTCCTTTTCTTTCAACTCGGGCATCTTTTCCCTGAGTAATGAGCAAGGGGCGGGATGTGGGTGCAGGGAAGGGGCTCATTAGGAGAAGACGTTGCGGGCACGCACATTTCGGAGGAGAATGGGATTTCTGTTCGCTCCTGGCTTTAATTTTGGCTTCCCAGGAGTTACGAGGTGCTGGGACAATAAAACAACTGCCCACAGTTGTCTCGGAGTCTGGAGGTTGGGAGGAGAACAGGGAATGTTTCCGATGATCCCTGAGGATGCAAGGAAGGGTTTAAGCAGGAATTACAACAGGGAAAACCTGCCCGGGGAGGGGGGCTGTGGTTACCTGACCCAGCACCACTTCCCAAATTCCAGATCCCAAATCCACCTGGCCACATCCTGACTGCATTTTAGGGCAAGGTTTAGGTGTGCAGCACCCCATCCCCATTCCAGATTTTTAGGGGAAAATGTTGGTGGAGCTCAGAGCAAGGCAGGGAGCACAGGAATGAGTTTATGAAGGATTGCAGATTTTTGGGATTCAATGCACCGGGGCAGGGATCTCTCCAGCCTTTCTCCTTCCCAAATGGGGTGCAGGGAAGAAGCTGCTTCCAAACCTCCTGTTCAGCTGCTCCACACGTCAGGAACTGCTGGTGCTGGCAGATGATAAAGATGGGAAGTGTAAATATAGGAATATTCCAAAGTGGGAATCCATCTCTCAGGAAAAGCCTGGTCCGGGACGGCTGGAAAAGTTTTGGGAAAAATCAACAAATTAAGAGATATTTGATGGGGCTTGGAGCAACCTGGGAGAGTGGAAGTTGTCCCTGCCCCTGGCAGGGGGTGGAATGAGATGGGATTTAAGGTCCCTCATAACCCAGATCATTTTGGGATTCTATTTTGGGGATTTGGCATTTCTTATCTCAGCTGCTGAGGGACAGAGAGGGCTTTGGATGGCACCTCTTGGCTAAAGCAAATTAACAAAACCCCAGCTAAATTAAATTAGAAAAGAGAAATAAACTCATCTTCCACCAAACCTTCAGGCTCTGTAAAAACTCCCTCTCAAAAAATAACATTAAACAGCAAAGAGCAGACTTAAGCAATTCCCCAGTGGGAATCCGGGAGGAGAGGGAAGCAGCTGGAAAATAATGCCGTGTGTTTAACCAGCAAAAACCAAAGGAAGACGTTGGGACGGGCAGGGATTGCTCTCGTTAAGGGAATAATCTGCTGCCAGGGAATAATCATTTTATCAGAGCAACCGCAGGGCTGCAGTCACACCTGTCACAACAGCCAGCATCCCTGGGCTTCCAGGAGCCTGAGGCTGCCCCGTGGAAATGTCTCTGGAATGAGAACACACGGTGCCTCCGGTGGCAGTTGGGGCTGCTTTGTTTGGATTGGGATGATAATGTCGGAGCAGGCACCCGGCTCAGGAGGATTGTTTGGATAATTTTTGGGCACTGCAAAAGGGCAAACCGATCCAGGAGCCACTGGAGACGGTGGAAAAATTCCAGTTGCCTGCAGCGGGCGCTGGATCCTGCCCACACCGCAGCAATGAGTGACGGGGAATCGGGGAGAAATAATTATTGCACGGAAAAGACAGATTTGCCCCCAAAAGTGGCAATAATCAGCACTGAATTTGTGCTGCCTGGAAATCTCCAAGGTGGGAACAGGGAGAGAAAATCACCCTACAACATCTTATTTCTGGGAAGAGCGGGACAAAGAGCAATTCTTTGATGTCGTGTCCGTGGATTTCTGTCCTGCATTTTCAGTCCACATCCTCACTGGCACAAGCTCCATCAAAGGCCTCAATTCCCTTCTTCCAAGGGAGACCCTGCTGATGGAAAGGAACTCTTTCCATGCCAGCACCCACCCAAAATAAATAAATAATGACATTATGGGCAACAATAAATCCCTTGGGAGACTCCCAGCTCCCTGCAGCTGTTTTTTGAAGGAAGTTTAGGACCATGACCAATAGCCAGGAAACCCAAGCTGATTCCATTGGCATTTTTCCTTCACACCACGTTAATTCCCACACACATGGCTGGGCTGCCCTGGATTTCAGCACATTTGGGATTGCAGGGACACCTGGAAAAGATAAAAGAGATGGTGGGAGGTGCTCTGAAAATCCATGATGATGAGCCCTGTGTGTTTATCCAAGCAGGAATAATTCTTCCCCAAAAACATTTATACCAAGCGGGACCAGAGGCCTTAAAAGTATAATTATTATTCTCATTTTACATCAGGAAAAAGGGGCACAGAGGGACTCGTAAAACACAGGCATTGTTCCTCAGAGAGGCTTTTAAACCCAGGGAATGGAGACCAGAAATCCCAGACCTACACGAGGTCTTCATTCCTAAACTCCCTTCCAGCAGTCACTCCCTTGCTCCACATGCATGAAACCCATTTTTCCAGCTGCTGGGAGACACAGACATGGGAAACACCCTCGAGAGGGTGGGGTGGCCAGCAGATCTTTCCCATTTTCCAGCTGCTGGGAAGATTCCTGACTTTATAGCACCTGCATTGTACACACTGTGTGTGTGGCTGGAAATGCACAGCGCATACAATGTGGATTCTGTACAAGTCACTGACGGCATGGCAGGGGCTGGGCTGGAGCTGGGGGAGGACATCCATCCATCCAT